ACTCCCAGTGCTGCTCTGTGTGTCTGTACTAATGTGTCAATCCTGACCCTGTATATTAATCGTGTGTTAATGCTGTGTTAATTCTGACTCTGTGTGTTAATGGTGTGTCAGTGCTGTGTTAATTCTGACTCTGTGTGAGCCTGTACTAATAATGTGTTAATGCTGACTCTGTGTCACTCTGCGTCAGTGCTGACTCTGTATATTAATCCTCAGTGCTGACGGTGTGTGTCACTCTGCGTCAGTGCAGACTCTTTGTGTCTCTGCATCAGTGCTGACTGTGTGTAAATGCTGTGTTAATCCTGACCCTGTGTCACTCTGTGAAAATGCTGTGTCAGTGCTCACTCTGTGTGTCACTCTGTGTGTCACTCTGTGTGTCACTCTGTGTGTCACTCTGTGTGTCACTCTGTGTGTCACTCTGTGTGTCACTCTGTGTCAGTCCTGACTCTGTGTGTTGTAGGGTCTCAGCGCCCACTGGCTCCAGCAGAGCTCTCGTGGGCTCAGGGTGGCACATGGCCTGTGCTGCGCCTCCCAGTCTGCCCAGGCTGCGCCTCCTGCCCATGCTGACAGCATATTTCGGGTGACCATGATCCCAGGGGATGGCGTGGGACCCGAGCTCATGACCGCCGTCAAGGAGGTGTTCAAGGTAATGCACTCTCGCCCCTCTTCCCTCTGTTCCGTGTCCTGGGGGCTGGGACACAGCCACACCGCACATGAAGACACACCAGTCCCCGTGTTCTCCCCCCTGTTAAACACTCAAACAGGGCATCTTGCACGTCTGAACCTTACATTTAGCCGTACAGTATTGTCTGATACCAATGCTTTTATTAACTTATATTAACGCCTGACAATCTCTCGTCTTACAGCTGTACAGTACTTCCCACAGCGGTTTTCTGGGCACCCTCAGAGTCTGCCCACTCATAACGAACAGCTGTACTGCTGTGTATCTGTTACACCACACTGACAGCCCGGTGGAGGTGCAGCTCGGTGTCTCTGCTGTCTGTTCTTGTTTATTCTTCTCTTATCCTGACAGTAAGAACACAAGACCAGTTACTAATGGGATGAGGCCACGGGCCTGTGTTGTGCGTATATTGCTCGAGGATTTGTATCGGTGCCTCTGCTCGCGGCTCTTTCTCTTTAACGTGACGCCGATGCTGCCCAGCAGTCGGTTGCAGCACCAGAGCATTGCTGGTAGACCCAGTTGCGACAAAATCATGTCTGAGAAGGTGAGAGTAAGGAAGGCACGTTTTTAACACTTTTCAGTCATCCTTGTGCAAGAGAACAGTGGGGAAGAGCCATGTTGGAGAAATAGTAGTTTTCAAGGTGCGTCCCTTCTCCCTCCTGTCTGTCTCTCGCAGGCCGGGGATGTCCCGGTGGAGTTTGAGGAGTTCCATCTCAGCGAGGTACAGAACACGGCCAGTGAGGGCAAGCTGGAGGAAGTGCTGGGCTCCATGAGGACCAACCGGGTGGCCATTAAAGGTGCAGTGAGAGGGAGGGAGGGGTTGAGGACTCTGGGATAGGGAGCAGGGGTCAGGGGTCAGGGGTCAGGGCTGTGGGCTGGAGGTCAGGGGTCAGGGCTCTGAGAAAAGAGCAGTGGTCAGTGGGACACTGAGCTCCAGGGGTGGCGGTAGTGCCATACACTTCACTCCGACGGCTGCATTATGAACCCCGGCTGTGTAAATGTGCACACCTGATTTTATTCACTGTGTTTGCAAAGCGAAGAGACTTTCTCATTCTAAAGCAGATTGGTGCAGGTTTTGTTTCTATCAGACTGTCTCAGCTGTTGATCACTCTGTGTCTCACTCTCTGTCTCTGTCCCTCCCTGCTGCCTCTCTCTCTAGGGAAGATCCACACACCCATGGAGTACAAGGGCGAGCTGGCCTCCTACGAGATGAGGCTGCGGTGAGTACAGCTGACAGGCGATGATGGAGAGACAGTTTCTCTTCACTGGTGTGTGCCGTTTGGAGAATAGCACTCGAGTTACACTTGCACTGCTGGAAAAATAACTTTTTACCTGTTACGTCATTCCACAGTTATGCTTAAGGCTTCACTGTCTGGCATCCATGGGGAGTGATAAACCCAACGTTATAGAACGTCATGTGACAGTATGTAAGCTGAAATTAAAATAAGTGGTAACACTCTCTTATACATTCTCACTTACAACTGTGATCATTATTGTTAATATTACAGTTGTGTAATCATACACAATTACTTATTACAGCATACTTTGTAGTACTTTAATGATACAATTACATTTCAAGCAAGGAGCAAAAGAATAAAATAACCTAGAGCTTCACATACGTTAATTCCTGGTGTTGGCTTGCTTTTCACATCACTAGAAAGCTTTGATGTGTGAGTGAAAGAAAATGCAGCAAGCACACGGCAGCAGTTATTCCATACAGCCCTCGCGAGAGAGAGGACACGCACACCAGACAGTGCAGAGCAAGACTGGGGCGGTAGTGTCAGTATTTCAAGATGCATCTTGGCTAAGATTACACATTGTCTACATCAGATGGAACAGGACAGTAAAGGTTCACTTAGTAGACCATTATAGTTCACAGAAAGTCACATAGTACAGCTTTTACTGTTGTTTAAAAAGTAGTGCATCATATTGCAACATTTGTGATAAACAGTAGGTTTAACAGGACTTCAGGTAGTGAACCATCTGTGATGTGCTGTGCTGTTGTCTTTCTCAGGCGGAAGCTGGACCTTTTTGCAAATGTGGTCCATGTGAACAGTCTGCCGGGGTACAGCACCCGGCACAATAACCTGGACCTGGTGATCATCCGTGAGCAGACTGAGGGGGAGTACAGCTCTCTGGAGCACGAGGTACAGCGTGCCATGCATTCTGACACTTTATGGCCCTCGCTGCCTCACGGCTCACCTCTCACTGCAGTA